TTAGAGGATTTTACTTGTTACTGTATAGTGTTGGATCAGGCAGATGGTTGAAAAGTGTTGATTCAAGAGCTTTGACTGTATAGAACAAGACAATTGAGGCAATAATAATAATGGGACTCAGAATCTGTAAGCCAAAGCAATGAAGCATAGTTCAATCAAAAGGAGAAATAAAAAAGATTAACCACATACACAGTATCGATAATCTCTAACATCATTTTACGTTACATTTAGCTCACATGAATCCAAGTGGAAATTCCTATAACAGTTATAGTTCCACTTCTTAATTTTCTGTTTATAACCCTAGAAATAACAAACAATATGTATAACATTCTGTGCAGTGCATATAATAGCCGCATAATAGATGCTCCTAAATTTTTCCCTAGCCTCACTCCCAAGCTGGGATAATCTCCTATTATAGGTTCTCATGGCTCCTGACTATGTAATTATTTATTTGACATTTTTCAGATTGTCAGATTTAGCTAACAAAAAAAAAAAAAAAAAAAAAAAACACCCAGTAAAATGTGAATTTCCAATAAACAACAAATAATTTTCCAGTATAACTATGTCTTGTGCAACATTTGGGGGCATACTTAAACGAAAAAATTAGTCATTGTTTATCTGAGATTAAAATTTTACTGGGCTTCCTACATTTAACCTGGCAGCTCTAATGGCTTACTTGTTCATAGCTGTATCTTCCACACACTATGAGTTTTAGGATACTATTTTCCTCATCATTGTAGCCCCAGTATTTGCACAGGGCTTAGCACTTAGCAGGAATTCAATCAATATTGGCTGACTGCCTAAAGGGATGGATATTAAAACTACTTTAATGTATTAGGTACATTGGCTCGCAGCAGTAATTCCAGCACTTTGGGAGGCTGGGGTGGGTGGATGACTTTAGCTCAGGAGTTCGAGACGAGCCTGGGCAACATGGTAAACCCCGTCTCTACTAAAATACAAAAGGTTAACTGGCCATGGTGGCACGTGCCTGTGATCCTCGCTATTCAGGAAGCTGAGGTGGGAGGATCACTTGAGCCTGGGAGGTGGAGGTTCCAGTGAGCCGAGATTGTGCTACTGCACTCCAGCCTGGGTGACAGAGGGGGCATCATCTCAAAAAAAAAAAAAAAAAGTATTTTAATTAAAATATACAAACTGAACCAGGTGTGGTAATCCCAGCTACTTGGGAGGCTGAGGCAGGAGGATCACTTGAACCTAGGAGTTTGAGGCTGCACTGCACTATGATCACCCCTGTGAATAGCCACGGCACTATAGCCTGGGCAACAGAGACCAATTTCTACAAAATTAAAAATAATTAAAAAAAAAAAAACATGGAAAATGCAACTGAGGTTCATAGAACTTGAAAGCAAAAGAAGCACTTCTTTCCATTGGGATATCTACAAGTGTACCATCTTTATGTAGTAAATAATCAGCTAAGATCGCTAAGGGGGAAATTCCTTTTAAAAGAGACTCCAAGCAACTGATTCTCCTAGTACAATTCATTTTCAGTTCTTAATTTTCACTTAATGCCTTTTCAAAGGCAGTTAACTGTCCAAAGCAAACTGGGCTTGTATTTTTAAGTATTCTGGCAGATTGCAGCTAATCCTTTCTACCAGGATCTAAAATTAAAATAGAGGTTAAGAGGTTTAGACAGAAGAGACAGGAGATATTTCCAAGCTGCATATGGAGCAGATGACACAAATTTTGAAATCTTTATCACCCCATCTTATTTATTAAACTCCCACCATGTTCTGCTCTAATTAGAAAAAGCAAAACAAGTTAATCACATGCAGCTTTGGTAGCTCATGAAGAGCCTTTGTTTTAAGTGCATTCTTTGTAAGGTTTAGCCTTAACCACCAAGCAGGGTTCACTTAGGCAAGTCAGGAAAGTTCAGAAAACAGACAGTAGAAGAAAGCCTGAGCAACATGGCAAAACCCTGTCTCTACTAAAAATACAAAAAGGTGGGCATGGTGGTGCACGCCTGTGGTCCCAGCTACTTGGGAGGCTTAGGTAGGAGGATTGCTTGAGCTTGGGGAATTGGAGGTTGCAGTGAGCCATGATTGCACCACTGCACTCCAGCCTGGGTGACAGACCAAGACCCTGTCTCAAAAATAAATAAACGAAAACATGGTTAAAGGAGAAAAAATGCCTTGGAAATGCAAGTAGAAACATGTGCCTTATATACTAGGAACATTAATCTAGGTCAGTTACAAATGCCTACAAAGCGAGACTGTTTGTTATGGCTTGAACAGCATACCACATCATCCTTCAGTGACAGGAGTAGACAGGATTTGGGAACCTGAGGTTCCAGTTTTGGGGCCTCTTTTAACCTCATGCCCAACCTGTGTCTAAATTTTCTGGCTCTATAAGGGAAAAACGGTCAACTCACATTGAGAACATTGACAGATACTTAACTACTGTTTTGGTGTTTTTTGTTTTTTGTTTATTTTTATTTTTATTTTTTGAGACAGAGTCTTGCTCTATCGCCCAGGCTGGAGTACAGCAGCGTGATCTCAGCTCACTGCAACCTCCACCTCCTCAGTTCAAGCAATTCTCCTGCCTCAGCCTCCTGAGTAGCTAGGATTACAGGCATGTGCCACCACGCTCTGCTAATTTTTGTATTTTTAGTAGAGACGGGGTTTCATCATGTTGGTCAGGCTGGTCTCGAACTCCTGACCTTGTGATCCACCCGCCTCAGCCATCCAAAGTGCTGGAATTATAGGTGCGAGTCACTGTGCCTGGCCTTAACTACTGTTTTATAAGGCTCTTTGCTCAACATAGGGAAGTCAGATGTATTTCTGCTAAGTCAGTCAGCTGTAGATTTGGAATGCTTTTTATTCAAGGGTGAAGTCTCTTCTGTCATTACTACTGCTGCACTTCTACCTTCCCCCTGGAGCAACTGAGCAGCTCTTATGTATTAAAGGTGGGAAGTTCTCCAGAAAAGGTGGTCCTGAAAGTAGTTGGGAGCCAACAATCACAGTAGCTGGGGGATAAGTCCATCAGCTTGGTAATTATATACATTATATATAATTGTAGATTATCAGTTGTGCCAACAATAATGTATTGAGTATCTAGAAAAAGTAACATCATGGTTTTGAGTACAAGAATTAAAAGGTATTTTTGAGGAAAAGGCATGTATACACATTGGAAATAATCCAAGAATAGAAGACATTTAATTAAATGTATGTTACAATTATAAATCCTAGAAGAGATCAGAAAGAATGGAGTCCATGATTAAAAACTGATTCTAGAATTTCAGGAGAGGAATGTGTTTTAGGGTTCACATTGAGAGATCATTCTTTTTTTTTTTTTTTTTAACGGAGTCTTGCTCTGTCCCCCCGGCTGGAGTACAGTGGCATGACCTCGGCGCACTGCAACCTCTGCCTCCCGGGTTCAAGCAATTCTCCTGCCTCAGCCTCCCAAGTAGCTGGGATTACAGGTGCCTGCCACCATGCCCAGCTAATTTTTGTATTTTTAGTAGAGACAGGGTTTCGCCATGTTGGCCAAGCTGGTCTTGAACTCCTGACCTCAGGTGATTCACTTACGTTAGCCTCCCAAAGTGTTGGGATTACAGGCGTGAGCCACCATGCCCAGCCAAGAGATCATTCTTGAATAGAGGGAAAGGAGAGTATTGTCAGGAAGCAATGTAAAGGTTGAGAGATGGTCATTAACTTAAGTGGTAAAGGATTCTGTTGGTGGAAACTACACTGGCTAGAACTGGTGGTCATCATATTGAAGGAAGATCAAGTCAGATTCAGAGGATTTTGAGTGTTTTCTTCTTCCCAGTAATTCTAGATACCCCTTCCAATTATGGTGCTTTTAAAATTTCTGTATTATTGTTCATTCTTTATTAGGGGATTAAAAAAAAAGGTTCATGGAAATTTCTGTTAATGTCCTAAAAAATCATCGTTTTTGAAATCAGTAATTCCATAACTATTCAACTATTTTTTTGTAACTATTCAAACTATTTTAACCATTTTCCTAGAGTATTTAAAAAATATCTATCTAATCTAATCTAATCTAATCTATCCATCCAACCCTCTGTTGCCCAGGCTGGAGTACATGTGGTGATACCTTCATGGTTCACTGCAGACTGGACCTCCCATACTGAAGTGACCCTCCCACCCCCACCTCCTGAGTAGCGGGAACTACAGGCACACACCACCACACCCAGCCTGTATTATTTTAACTCTTACTAGTTTAGGGAAAATTTTGAGTGTATTTCCAAATTTCCGAGTTACTCCAAGAAGTGAGATTATGCTTCTTTTTTTTTAAAGGTCATATATCTTGCTATGCAATAAAACGATGCTGGAGTCAGACATTCTTTGACTCAAATCTTAGAGATGTGACCATTAGCAAATTACTTGGCCTCTTTGAGTCTTAGCTTCTCTTTCTATAAAAGGGGGATATTTCCACACAACTGATAGGGTTTATGTGAAGTTTAGACGTAATACACATAAAACACCTAATATGGGGCATATTATGTTCTGAATAGAGGGCAACCAGTACAGTACCAATGGTATGCATTCAAATGAGTTGTTAGCATCATTGTCACCTGCCCTATTAAAAACTAAAAAGCAATATGATTATCTAGCCTCTGGAGCTGGACTGCCTGAGCTGCGGCACTTATTGGGGTGACTTGGGGTGTGTTGCTTATTCTCTTTCTGCCAGAGAATGGAGAAAGTAGTAATGTATATCTCAAAAAGTTGTTTTGAGGACGAAATGAGTTGATGGGTATGAAGAGCTTAGTACCATGCCTCGTACTTGATAAATACTTTATATATGTTAGCTGTTATTTTCCTGAAATTTGGGGGCCAAAGTTAAATGCATGGAAAATTTGCTTAGAGCAACTGAACATCTTGTTGTGATCCCTCCAAAGCTGACTTGGAAATAAATCACCTATTGCTAAATTATTGTTAGGAAAATGCTGACTTTTAAATATGTTTATCTACTTTTGCTTACACTTTAGCCGCTTCATCTGTATACTTGGAGGAAAGTCAACAATGGCATCTCCAAGGAAGATAACTGAGAAGCGGCATAACCCAGTGGAAAGCATTTGTAGAAAGATCAGAGCCATCCACAAGAGAGAAGCAACTTCAAATCCAGTTCAGCAGATTATCAAATACCAGTCTAGCAGTTTTGATAGCCCACAGACCAACACCAAGAAAGATTTTGAAGAGGTACTGAGGAAAATGACTGCTGCTTGTGTTCCTACGCCTGACTCTCATTGGTCAAGTTCTGAGGAAGTGGATGCCTTCATTTCATCACCTCAAATAATATCCCCAAGAACCCCATCCATCTCTCACCTCAGCTCCCCTGAGACTGCAACATACTCTGTTATTCTCACAAGTTCTGAAAACGTCTTAAAGCTGAAGTCACAGAGCAACAAGAATTATACATCTTTGATGTCACAGATCAGAAAAGCAGAGTTTTTCTCTAACAAGGATTTGAATAACTATTGTAGTGAAAATAATTTTAGTACCTTAACACCTGACTTTGATTCCACCTTTGGTCAAAGTTTGAAGTGTTTTCGTCCTCAGGATTCAGTGGTAAAAAAATTATCTCTGAATGGACATGGTAAATATTCATCTTTTAATGTTCTTCCAGTAGAGCAATAAGCATATATACTTTTAGAATGCCTAAACTAAAAAAAAAAAAAAAAAAAAAAAAAAAAAAAAAAAAAACTACATTATTAAAGTTTGGATGGAATCATCCATCTTTCCTTTTTCCTTTTCTGTTTTAACTATGTTTGTTTCCAGAACAAAACAGAACGTCATGATGGGATTACTTAGATATAGGGGAGTATTTCCCTATATCTAAGGGGAAGGCCATTTATTATGATAGGTTTTCTTTGTTAAACCACAAAAAGGAAAAGTAATCATTATAGCATAGAAAGCATCAGGATTTACAAACTTTTTCTTCTAATAGGATGGAAACAAGAAGCTGATGATGGTAAAGAAGATGTAACATACAGCATCAACAGGGCCTGTGAAGAAGAGGCACTCACCAATATTTTTAATGCATGTGACATAAAACGGAAAGGTAAGCTGAAAATTATCTGTTCAAATGTTTGGTAGGACTCGCCAAGTCATCTGAACTTTCTATTGTGAGAGAAAGGGAAATGATTCATATGTGGGGCTCACTGTCTGTGTCTGCATATGTGATGGATGCCACCTAATTTGGGAATAAGGTTTGCTCTGTAGGGTTTGGTTATTTTGCTATAATTTCCCTGTACCTGTTTTGCATCAGCATATTTTAACAGTGACTTGAATGATTCTTTTTGAGCTTATCAGCTGACTTACCATCTTTATTTATTGAAGCTACTTACATGTCACAGGTGGTGCCCCACAGGAAATATGCTTTTCAAATATGTAAAACCACTATACAAGTTTAACTCAGAATTTTTAGTTAATTTTGGGCTTTCACTTCTGTTTTTCTTTAATTTTTATTTTTGAGACGTGTTTTTTAAAAAATTTCCAGACCTAAAACTACAAAAACCCTAGGAAATACCATTCTGGACATTGGCCTTGGCAAATAATTTATTAATAAGTTCCCAAAAGCAATTGCCACAAAACAAAAATTGACAAGTGGGACCTAATTAAAGAACTTCTGCACAGCAAAAGAAACTGTCAACAGAGTAAACAACGTACAGAGAGGGAGAAGATATTCACAAACCATGCATGTGACAAAAGTCTAACATCCAGACTCTGAGAAACTTAAACAATTCAACAAACAAACAAAAAACACCATTAAAAAGTGGGCAAAGGACATGAACAGACACTTCTCAAAAGAAGACATACATGCAGCCAACAAATATATGAAAAAAATACTCATCATTACTAATTATTAGAGAAATACAAATCAAAACTGCAATGAGACACTGTCTCACACCAGCCAGAATGGCTACTATGAAAAAGTCAAAAACCAACAGATGTCGGTGAGGTTATGGAGAAAAGAGAACACTTACACATTGCTGGTGGGAATATAAATTAGTTCAGCAACTGTGGACAGCAGTGTGGAGATTCCTCAAAGAACTTAGAGCTACCATTTGAGCCAGCAATCTGTCTACTGGGTATGTACCCGGAGGAATATAAATCATTCTACCTGAAAGACACATACATTTATATGTTCATCACAGCACTGTTCACAATAGAACAGACATGGAATCAACCCAAATGCCCATCAACAGAAGACTGGATAAATAAAAAGTGATACCTACACACCACGGAAGCCAAAAAAAGAAACAAGATCATGGCCTTTGCTGCAACATGAACGCAGCTGGAGGCTATTATCCTAAGCGAACTAATGCAGGAACAGAAAAGCAAATACTGCATGTTCTCAATTTTAAGTGGGAGTTAGACATTATATATACATGGGAACAGTAGATACGGGGACTACTTGAGCAGGGAGGCATGGGTTGAAAAACTACCAATCATGTATTATGCTCAGTACCTGGGTGATGGGATCATTTGTACACTAAACCTCAGCAACACGCAATTCACTCATGTAGCAAACCTGCATATATACCCCCTGAACCTAAAAGTTGAGAGAGAAAAAAAAAATTCCACAAGTAATTTTAAGTATATAAATGATTCATGCTCATTGTAATAAAATTAATAATACACTGACAAGCAAAAAGAAGGAAAAATATTGGTAATCCTGTTCCCCTGAGTAACCATTGTTAGTGATTTGTTGTATATCTTTCCACAACTCCTGTCAATATAGTTTTGTTTTATTTGAATTCATAATTTTTTTGTCATAGAACATTTCAAACATATACAGAGGTAGAATTATTTGATGAACCCTTATATATGTGTCATAACCAATTATGTCTCATTTCTCACCCTGCTCATTTTCCTCTCCTCTACTCTGGATTATTTTGAGGCAAATGCCAGAGATCACAGTATTTTATCCGTAAATATTTCAGTAAAGATAATTCTAAAAGATAATTGACTAATTTTAAACACAACTACAATGCCATTATCATGATTTTAAAAGTCATATACTTTTCTAATATTATCAAAAGTCTTGTTAGTAGTCAAAATTTCTCATTTGTGTGATAGATACATATCCTTTTTTCCTTAAACAGTTTTACTGTTCAAGCCAATATCCAAGAAAGATTTGTTCATTGCAGTTGGTTGTCTGCCTTATCTCTGTTTCGCTTTCCATCTGTTTTTTGCGTTTTGTTGTCTGTTAAAGAAACCCATCCATTGATTGATTGATTGATTGATTGAGACAGAGTCTCTCTGTTGTTGCCAAGGCTGGAGTGCAGTGGTGTGATCTTGGCTCGCTGCAACCTCTGCCACCCGGGTTCAAGTGATTCTCCTGCCTCAGCCTCTCAAGTAGCTGGGATTTCAGGTGCCCTCCACTACACCCAGCTAATTTTTGTATTTTTAGTAGAAATGCGGTTTCACCATGTTGGCCAGGCTAGTCTCAAACTCCTGACCTCAGGTGATCCACTCACCTCGGCTTCCCAAAGTGTTGGGATGACAGGCGTGAGCCACTGCACCCAGCCCATTCTTTTATTTCATAGTTTACCACAATCTGAAATTTGGTGATTGTGTATCTGTAGGAACACAACCTGTTTCTCTGTCTCCTATATTTAGAAATATAATCAGATGAAAGTTTGAGGGTTTTTATTTTTTTATTTTGTTGGGGGGCAAGAATTCTATTAGGTTGGTGCAATTGTGACTGGAGTTTTTTTTTTTTTTTT